ATTGAAAATATTTCAAAAACGGTAAAGTTTAAGTATAATAAACCTTAATCAAATTTACCTTTATTTTAATCGTAGAAACTAAAAATGTAATAATATACAGGGTGTTCCATTTAAAAAAATACAACTTTAATATTTTTTATTTATTTGAGACACTCTGTATCTTGTAAAAATATTTTTAAATTGTAGCTCTAATAGTCCTTCAACGAACCCCAAACTTACAATTTGTAAAAATCTCATCGTTTAGCTACAATACTCCGTGTCGTATGTGGTGAACAACCCTGTATTGAGTAGTTTCTTACAATGAAGAATCGTCATAGACGTGTTTTTCGTTGCCTCAAGTGCTTTCAGCGCGGCTTGACTATCCGAAAATATGCATATTGTTTTCCCGGTGTATTGCTGTTCTACCAGCAGTTGCACACGGGTTTCAATAGCATATAGCTCAGCTTGGAAAATTGTGTGGTAAAACACACCAACCTAACCTAACCAAGACTGTGGTAGATCTCAATCTTTAGACGTAGACTGCTGCAGTAAATTCCTGCGCCAGATCCTTTTTCGTTTTTGGATCCATCCGTGTACCAACACATTTCCGCATGTAATAAACCGTTTCCCGGCTTATCCCATTCGTCCCTATTCGGAAACAGGACGTTGTAGGTGCGCGTCAAGAGTTGGACTGGTAGTGTGAGATCCGAATTGCAGATCCATTGCAGAGTAGTGGCAGCATTTAGTTTACAGCATTTGAGCACTAAGTAACGTAAAAAAAATGTTAAGCTTTTTAACCTTTTTGCTTTTCATTTAAGAGTAGGTATTTCCTTTACGTCTTAATTTGTAAAAATAAACATATCACTGGCCAACGCTGACTAGATAGTTTCTCTTTAATTAGAAAATTGCCATTAATGCACAAACTAATAATCACAGAATTTACTAAAAACTAACGTAGAAATAACTTTGAAAGTGGTATAATGTGCTTGTAATCAAACTTACTTCTCTAACTGCAGTCAAGGGCACCTTTATTTTCACAACGTAGAAATAACTTTGAAAGTGGTATAATGTGCTTACCAAACAAACTTCCTTCTCTAACTGCAGTCAAGTCAAGGGTAATAAAGCACCTTTATTTTCACATTCTCGTTCAAAATAGTTTATCAGGGAAGCTACAAGATCTTTGCTTCGACTCTTTAAATGCTTCGGTATATTTTCAACACATAATTTCAAGAAATGCAATACAAAAACTCGAAAATTTAAGTCCTAAAAGAACTGTTTGTGCTTAAAAATGCAATTTTAAAAAGAGACTATGAAAATGGGCAAACAATGAGAATTACTCACAAAGATTGAACAACAACACGATATTATACAAAATAATGACTGACATTATGACATAGATAAATGAAACAAGTTTAGATTGGAAAGTGCCCATAAGGACAATGTAAACACTATTTGGCGCTATTCTTGCAACGGTCGCGACCCAAAACTTTTGAAAATTTCGGAGCGGTTCGGCTTTTTCCGGAATTATATCGCCAAATATTGTTTATTCAAATTTATTATTATTTTAGTTTAATATTATAAATAAAATACAGTGTGTTGCATACAACAAACTTTATTTTATATAAGGACGCATGTATGAAATACCTATGAAACATTGGAAACCGACGTTATGCCACGATCCACGATGGTTTTTGCAGTTCACAGTTCACAGCACAGCTTTTTAAGTTTTTAATGTCACTTTTTCACAATTATCACCGGTTGGAGTAAATAAAACTTGAATTGAACTCACAAGATAGCAATAATTACTTTGAAAATAGACGCTATAAACACTTTTCGGAATTAATTTAATGAGAGCGGTTTAGATTTTGAAAGATTATTATGATTTTTGAAGATTCTGACTTTGACAAGAGAAAATTATTTCTGTTTTTGTTTGCCGTTGTTCTTAGCGACCGCTATAGCAGCGCCAGATCGCGTATAACGGTCGCGACCCAAAATAATTTCGCGACCCAAAATTTTTACGGGCTTTCCAATCTAAACTTGTTGCATTTATCTATGCATTATGATAATTGTCAAATAATAAACGACAAACACGGCGCAATGTGACCAACATAGCGATAATAAAATTAGGTTTAAACTAATTATTGCAGCTTTAATCTAAATAAAATATCTGTTACAATCATTTGCCCTATAATGTAAAAATAAGGAGCTGCTCGGTATCCTATATTATACAACAAATTTAAACATTTTTGACCAAAATTTCATTTAGTCGGGTTTATAGACTATAGACTTTCTTATAGATTTCCGTATGTCATTAAACTAACAAACTAAATAAACTTGTAAAAAAATATATTTTTGAGTCTATTTGCTTTGTCTTTTGTATTTATAAACCAGGTCTCTTTGGGATTAATGGACGCCTTTTTTAAATAGTATTCCATTGTTTTGGACACCCTGCACTTTTGAGCCATTAGTGTTTCACAAGTGCACGGGACCTACATTCTATCGCCGAATCGGAACGGCTATTTGAGCACTACTGAACCTGAACAGTGGTTTACCAAGGTTTTACCACTGTCTTCTTTGAGAGTTGGGAGCTTGCTGGTCATTCTACTAGGATGAATAATATTTTTATTTAAATAAATAAAGAGACCAAACTAGCCGAGGTCACACTATCAGCTACGTACGATAAGTAAACTTGGTAATTAGTATAAAATACTACTACTAGTAGAAAATAAAGACATAAAATAGTATAGGTAGTATATTATTCAGTCACAGGTATTAAAAGATTTTATTAAGTAAATAACATTTAAAAATATGGTTTATATTCATCGCACCTTTTTGAGACCCTTCAAAATCCCTCCATCTCCTGATCAAATCATCCCTTAAAATATTCTGTAATTATCAAAACAGATCAGATAACGAATTTTATAGCTTACTCGTCCTGTTTGTTAATATTATGCATATATTGCCATTATAGTACGAGAAAAGTGCATTCTAAATATATCCCTACTAAAATTTAACATTAACCCAATGAGCGCGACAAAAAAAACCTCGTTATCTTTTAGATCTCCGAGCCAGGTTGTGAAATTTCGAAAACAAAATAAGTTTTGAATTATGACCCCTTCGTAAAAAGGTTCTTCCTATTAATATCTCGAAATGACATCTTTCTGTTTTGCGTCAAAAAGGTACCTGCTGTTTCTGAATGTGGCGTGTCGTTTGTAGCATAAAAAAACTACACGAGGGAGTTTTTGTTATAGGTAAATAGTAAATATACTTTTGTTGTGCTTTTGTACTGAAATTATTGTAACAGCATCATGCTTCGTGAAAAATTTGTATTAACTATACAGGGTGTTTTAAAAAACATGTGCCATCTAAAAAGCCATATAAAAATATTCCAGTGATAACCCCTGGTGAATCTGTCGATTTTTATAGTAACTGCATTAAATATGTGTAGCACTTTACCTTTACCCTCAAATTTCATTCGAATCATTAAAAGCACTTGGAAGAAAATAATAATAAATCGAAAAAAATTGAAAACTTTAATCCTCTGTAGCTATGAAACAAAGCAGAATCGAACTTATGTTGATATATGTATAAAATATATCTTATTTTTGAGTGAGGAATCTCCCCACGAGAGATGGCACATGTTTTTTGAAACACCCCGTCTTGTTAGATAACAATATAGGTAGTATTGGTATAATAATTATAGGTAACTAAATTAATATAATACTGTTAAGGTGTATGTGGCGCTAAACTGTATTACTGGTTGCCTATGTGTCAAGAAAAATGGCGAATTCACCAAAAAGTAAAAGACATTTTTAGGCGCCATCCATTAATCAAGTCGAGAAGTAAGCGAATCAGACAATAGATTTTTCCAGTATGAAGTAGAAAGTAGAACGCTCTCCGATAATTGTAGAAGGTTCGAGAAACAGTCAATAGAGTATATAAGCCGCGTAATCGGCAATTGGGACAGTTTGAAGTTTGAATATACCGCGCTTTACATTATTACGAATCGGACAATTTGGCGAAGGAATTTTATAAGTAGTTAATTATGTGTTATTAGTATAAACTGTGTGTATAAAGTGAGATAATAAATTAGTTAAGTATTTTATCGTGAGTTTAAATTAGTGGACCCACGGAATCCGTAACAATACGATCCAAAAAAAAACGGCGTCAAAGATGGCTGTGAAACAAAGCTTGTTATTTTATATTTTAAATTATATTGGGAATATAGTCGATTGTTATTTCCAAGCCAACTGGATGTTGTTTTTTCGGTCATAATGCACATATTAAAGAAATATAAATAATTTTATAAAAAAAAAATGATATATGTATGTAGGTATTATAGTATTTTTAATAAAAAAATTGTAAAAATAAGATATTTTTATATAGTATCAGAAAAACCATGTAATTTTGCAAAACAGTTTATTAATGTTAAATGATAATTACAAAAGGATATTATTTTCATAATGAGTTTTTTTTAACAAGTTAAAAATTAAATTTAAATCAGAAATACAATCTTATAGTAAAATTGCATGTATCTAGACATATTCACAAAATTACTTATTATTTACCATAATACATTTAGTGAAAAATGACGCCACGTCACGTGACTTCTTGTAAAGCTGATGCGCATTAAAGTATTCGATCAGAGAATTGTTCTTCTCTGATTCGAGAACACGTAGGAGGAAATGATGAAAGACGAAGAACAGTTCATGAGAAAATCTCAGTGCATGAGTGATTAGTGTTTTTATAATTTAAGGGTAAGTATATTATTTATGCTAATTATGTTTATATGTAGTTTCTGTAAATATAAAGCCAGCCCTCTTAGAAACACAAACTCCATTTATTAGAATTATTTGCATTTTAATTTTAGTATTTTTCTATGTAAACATAATTGTTCCATGACATCTCTATATCAACATATCTTAAGTCTTATTTATTCTTTGGTTAGGTTAGGTTAGGTTTGGTTTGGTTTGGTTTGGTTTGGTTTGGACAAAAAAGAAAAAAATAGTAAAATAACTTACCATTTGTTGTGAACAATATTTTTGTACTTCGGTTATTGACTGATTTCTTACGTCTAAATTTGCTGCTAGTTGTACTAAGGATATCTGAAAATAAAATTGCAATTTAATCAAAAATGCAATACCTAGATAAAATTATTGACTTAACTGTATGCTCTAAATAGCTTTAACTAATAATGGTAAAATTCTATATGGTGACCATAAGAAAAATACCTATAAGAGTACAAAGACTTGTCTTTCACTATCCGAAATTTAGCGAGATCAGTGACGTGCGGTGACATTTTTGAAAGGGGAAGCGATTCGATAAAGGTATAAAAAAACGTTGAAAAATATTTTTGTATATGCCCGCTCCCGAATGTCTTTGACTACGTCGCCTGTTAAAGTCGATGCACGACGTACGGCAGTCTTCTGTCTCTATCTAACTCATCGTTCGGTATCGACGCGATGTAAGTCGGGGTTGTATACTATTAAGGCGCGGCTTAAGCGAAATCTTCGGTGGCCTATTAGGCCCATGATACTATTAGGCCTATATCAATGTTTTTGATCAACATAAATTAATGAATAAATTGCAGATACGTACACAATGATACGTATAGGTAATAATTGCGATTATAAAATAATTTATGGAATAAAAATGATTGGACTTAATATATATGGACCTAATATATATCCAGAGGCTTTCAAATTGTTTGTTTTGATGGTTACTACACAATTTATATATACAGTACGTTTGTCCGTTCTGTAGCTATGGGGTATCCGTGAGAGGGGAAACGATATTCTCTCCATGTTTTTCGTAAAAAATTAGACGACGCGTCCCATCAATAAAAATTCGACAAATTTGCAAGTAACCAATAAAATGAGTGGGCGGAGCGATTTACGGTGACGTACTCGTCAAGTCGACGAATAAAATATATTGTTGTTTATTTAAATGTTTTTGTCCGCATTCCTTTCATAGACACAGATCCAGCAGACGTACTGTAAGTACAGTTCTTGACGAGTACGTCACCGCAAATCGCTCCGCCCACTCATTTTATTGGTTACTTGCAAATTTGTCGAATTTTTATTGATGGGACGCGTCGTCTAATTTTTTATAAAAAACATCGAGAGAATATCGTTTTCCCTCTCACGGATACCCCGTAGCTACAGAACGAACAGACGTACTGTACCCGGTGGCCAACTAAGAATGGACGCCGGCTGTATTTCAGAAACTACTTATCGTATAACTTGGTGAAAAAAAAATCTAATAAGTAAATCGACCAAGAGAAATCGCTGGACATTATCTTGAAGTTCTAAAATTGTCCGCTAGGGGGCGTTTCTCTGATAGCCAATCAGAAAACAGGGTTTTTCTCAAATATATGCAGGTGAGCAGGTATTTTAAATATTACTATTGCAAACATCAAGAAATTTGTATTTCTTTATATAGAGTATTTTAATCTATCTCATAAAATAAAGTGGTAGGGAAAGGTTAAACTTGCTTTTATTAAAATAAGGATAACTCTGGTTTAGGTTAGCCGATTTAAACAAACTAGGGCTCGTTTAAAAGAGCTTTTCTTCCTTAATGATCTCCAGTGTAAATTTTGTTTCAATATTTTTTTCGTGGTAGCTAGAGGGCGCTGTTTGACATAATAACAGATATTGCGCTTTTGCATAAAAAAATTAAATAGGATGCTGTATTTCTCTTTGCACAGTTAAATAGAACACAAAATTTCCAAAATATTAGCGCAAACCGCAACTTTCTATCTTCTCTCTAACCGGATATATTAAGAGAAAAAGTCATGTTAGGCTGCGGTTTAGGATTATATGGTCTAAAAATTATAGTACGAGTAGTAGGCTAGGAAACAAAAAGAGGTAAATTGGTTACGTCAAAATATCAAAACGTTTAAGTTCAGTTTTCATGCATTCGAATTTCGGACGTTTTCTTAAAAAAACACGTCATAAATTTTTAATCGTGTTTATGTAACATTATCGTCCATCCATATAATTTTTACGAATTTCTTAGATACGTATGTAGTTCTCAAATTTAAATGTCCGAAAGTTGGACAATCAATAATTTTATTAAAATTTCTAGGAATGTTGTTCCACCATATTGCTTTTAACAGAAAACGGCCGAATTTCGTATGGCCGAAAACTGGGGGTTTATTTCATATAACGTCATTTAGTTATTAATCCAAGTTCATCCTTGATTTCACTTGTTTTCGTACTTTAGCTGTTGTTTGTGTTGTTTATTATTATATTATAAATTTTATGTCGTTTGAAGGTGCGAATCTTAACAATATGCACTACTGGTCCAAATCTACACTTGATGCAAGTAGCTCATCAAGACCGTTGGTCGGTAAATGTTTAGGCAGGCATTCTAGGATGGCGAATGATTGGACTTTTTTAATTATCCGAATGAAATGAACTATCCATAATTTCTAAGAGATGAATTGCCAATTGTTTAGGGAATCCATCATAATGAAATTGCATTTATCATTTGTTGCAATTTCATCAGCATGAATGCAGTTGGTGTAGTTAATGCAGTTGGTGCAGTTGTGCCGCTTATTTTGTTACTAATGTGTGGGGCTTCTTGGATAAAACTTATTTTAGTAGATAGAGACGCTGGAGCGGCATATTTCTCTGGCCAGCTAGGTCATCGGATTTAATATGTCTGGGTTTTAATTTAAAGGGTCCAATCAAGAACGAACATGGATAACAATTAAATGGTATTAAAACGGAATTAAAATATAATATGTTTTGATATTTTGACGTAGCCGATTTACCTCTTTTTGTTTCCTAGCCTACTACTATAATTTTTAGACCATACAATCCTAAGCGGCAGCCTAACTTGACTTTTTCTCTTAATATATCCGGTTAGAGAGAAGATAGAAAGTTGCGGTTTGCGCTAATATTTTGGAAATGTTGTGCTCTATTTAACTGTGCAAAGAGAAATATAGGCTCCTATTTAATTTTGTTTATGCAAAAGCGCAATATCTGTTATGATCTGAAACAGCGCCCTCTAGCTATCACGAAAAAAAATATGGAAACAAAATTTATACTGGAGATCATTAGGGAAGAAAAGCTCTTTTAAACGGCTAACACAAACCGAAATTATCCTTATTTTAATAAAAGCAAGTTTAACCTTCCCCCTCCAGTTCATTTTATGAAATAGAGCAAAAAACTCTATATCAAAAAATTCGAAATTTCTCGATGATTACATTAGTAATATTTAAAATACTTGTTCACCTGCATATTTTTGAGAAAAATCCTGTTTTCTGATTGGCTATCAGAGAAACGCCCCCTAGCGGGCATTTTTTGAAGTTGAAAATAATTTCTAGCGATTTCTCTTGGCCGATTTACTTATTATACTTTTTTTCCCAAAGTTAAACGATAAGTAGTCTATGAGATACAGCCGGCGTCCATTCTTAGTTGGCCACCCGGTACTTGGTTTGAGAGACATTTTTCATGTTTGAAATACATTAAAAATTACAGTAGAAATTCAATAGACCAGTGAATTCAATAAGGCTGCGTTTAATTTTGTTAAATTTCGTTCCATTTCACCCTGTATATTAGAACTACGTTAATATGTGAACAATCCGTGCCGCGCAAATGCATATAGCTTTACAAAATACATAAATACATCACTTTCGATTTTCTTTAATCTTGCTTCCAAGAGATTATAGGCATCGAAAGGGAAGCATAAGCAAATAAATTTCCAACCGAGTTTGTTTACAGTGTAGTTTATTTTTATTTGTTTCGGCTCCTTTAAGGCGCCAGTTCTTCGATCTTCTAAAGGAAGATCATAGGGAACAGTTATTTGTGTTTTCTTTATGTTAGATTTGGTTAGGCATAGTTAATACTTTTTATGACAACGGTGTCTAGATATATTTTGTATTCTATAGTATTAATTTAATAAACTGGTACAAATGGATTAATTTAGTGATTTAAGTAATTTAATTCTTTCTCTTCAAATAAACCATTGGATACCAACACACTCCAAAATTTGTGGCTTGTAATACAACTGGGGTTTAATGCTTGTAATACAACTGGGAAGGAATATAATGCTATCCATGTATTAAAGCATGGTCAACGAAAGAGGACTCTATAAGGGTGGGGATCCTTGACACTTCTGTTTGACGATTTATTTGACACATTTGAACTTGATTTGAAATTTTGTGGATATCAGTCTTTAGTAAGGTTATTTTATGTTATTTATTATTTATTCTACTACTGATAGTTGTTTAAAGGTAGGTAAGTAAGTAAGTAAGTTTTAAGTAAATCTAGAAGGAAATTTTGGGAGCAGAACTTAACTTAACAGTGACACTATTGCGATTTATCGAAAAAGACTGTAAAATATTTGGTTGTGTAGTGTGCAGTGGAAAAATTTAAAAATTTCTAAAATTCCTGAGTTTTTTTGAAAAACGGATTTTTTGAAAATAAATTTTATTTTTTCCTGTCGTTACTTTTTTGAAAATCAAAAAAATAATTACACTTTCTCATAGCCAATTTATTAGGGCTATCTGATAGTATTTTTAGATTTGTAAATTGGCTGATAATTTGTGAGATACAGAGGGCAATTTAACTTTTTTAAATATGGACGTGGGGGGGCATTACTTGACGTTATTTGTAAAAGCGAAATCAATACATCTCAACATACAATAAAGACTACAAAATGCATTCGGAAGTATAGATGAAAGTTCAAAGAGCTATAAATAAAATTGAACGAAAAATGCATTTGTGCAATAGGGAGGATGGTAACACTTTCGAACGTGTCGAGCATTAGAAAGCAGTTTATAGAAGTTGATTTATTTATAATAACTACGATTAATATTATGCATAGGTATTATTAGATCGCGAACTGAGAATACCAAATTTACAATAAAAGAAGTTAAAAATAATATCTTTAAATTGCTGACCTGAATATTATTTATTTGAATCTTCCAATTGGCATGTGATTTTTCTTATTCAATGTTAATTAGCGCTGATCAATATTGTTGAGATGAATATAATTAGATAAATAATATAAAAAACAAGAGTCGAACTTGAAATTATTTTAAATAATAATAATAATTAAATAGTTTTGTTGTTGTTAAGGTATCTAGTATATATAT